GACCATGAGCCCGCAACAGCGCGCCCCACAGCAGCTCCTCGTGCAGCGCCTCAGAGGAAACTGCAAAACAGTTCTCTGTGTGAACCGTGGCAAACGCAAAACCGCCCGCACATGTGACTCCTAACACTCAGAGTCAGCGCTCTGGTCCTGCGCGGTAGGCAGGCACTGGAACAGCCTGCCAGGCGGCCTCCGTGGGTCTCAGGCAGATTCTCCATCACGACAGGAGTCTGGGCTACGCAGGTGAACCCTTTGTCAAAACAAGTTAACTGGACACAAGCTCTGTGTGTTTCACTGCATGTAAATTATGCCTCAGTAACTAAAGAAATGCATTTTCTATTTTGAAAATCTCACTGGAGCCACAAAGCTACATAATGGGGTGAAAATTTCTACAAGTCAATGAAAAAGTGAGTGAGAATTTAAATTGTGCTACACACTGTTGCACCACTCTTATTTTCCCTTAGAAGAACTGGTTTCAGGGCAGGTGTGGTGACTCGGGCCTGTAATCCCAGCATTTTGGGAGGCCGAGGTGGGAGGATCGCTTGAGCCCAGGAGTTCAAGACCAGCCTGGAAGTGAGATCTCATCTCTACCAAAAAAAAAAAAAAAAAAGCTGGGCTTGGTGGCACATACCCGTGGTCCCAGCTATTTGGGAGGCGGAGGTGAAAGCCTCTCTTCAGCCCCGGAGGTCAAGGCTACAGTGAGCCACGATGGCACCACTGCACTCTACCCGGGCGACACAGCCAGACCCCGTCTCAACAACAACGAAAAAGAATTCGTTTCAATGGAAAAATGATGCCTCAGGTCGCTGTGATTTTAAATAAGTATCATCGTGCAAAACAACCCTGTAAAAGCAACCACCGGCTGAGGCAGTGGGTAGACCACACCCACGCTCACTGTAACGCCAGCCTCCAGGCAGCAGTCACTGAACAGGGAGGCGGGAGGGCCCACTGGCGGGCTTCTCACGCTGCCGAACCCCGGTAAACAGCACCAAGGGCCGGCTGGAGCTTCCGCTGCATCCGTGTAGCTAATGCTGGTCTTCTTCATAGCAAGCAAAGGAAGCCAACGTGAAACACAGCTTTAAGGGCCCAACGAGAACTGTCTGGGAGCCTTAAACGCAGGCCTCTCTATCTAAAGATCCCCTCTCCTGCTTTGATAGAAAACAAATACCGCAAACCCCTTGATGGGCTGTGAAGGAGACATCCCCCTTTGTTGACGTGCACGGTAGACGCTGCCCACCTACCCGTGGGCTCAGCACACCCAAGTCGGGCTGTTGCCGTAGGTGGAGCAGGGCAGGATCGGGCCCACCCCCAACCAGGAAAGTCAGGCCAGCATCAGGTGGTCAGGTGGCTGTTAGAAACTGTCTCTCTAAAAGAACTGGTCGCAGCCAGCGCCAGGGAAAGGCAGCTCCCAATAGCTAGAAAACACCCGAAACCGGTAGCGTGTGCACTGAGAGGCAAAATGGCGGCGTGTAACTGGTCTATGACCTTCCAGGGACGTTTGACAGGCAAGGGAAGAACGCCTCAGGTGAGCATGAGCACTACTCCAGCGAACACACGGCCCATGCTCCCTTCCGCAAGGCGCACACGGCACATTCTCCCTCCCGCAGGGCACACACGGCGCATGCTCCCTCCCTCCAGTGAACACATCACGCATGCTCCTTCCCGCCAGGGACCACACCGCGCATGCTCCCTCCCTGCAGGGACCACACCGCGCATGCTCCCTCCCTCCAGGGAACACATGGCGCATGCTCCCTCCCTCCAGGGAACACACCTTGCATGCTCCCTCCAGTGACCACACGGCGCATGCTCCCTCCCTCCAGTGACCACACGGCGCATGATCCCTCCCTCCAGTGACCACACGGGGCATGCTCCCTCCCTCCGGTGACCACACAGCGCATGCTCCCTCCCTCCGGTGACCACACCGCGCATGCTCCCTCCCTCCGGTGACCACACCGCGCATGCTCCCTCCCTCCGGTGACCACACCGCGCATGCTCCCTCCCTCCGGTTACCACAGGTTGCATGCTCCCTCTCTCCAGTGAACACACCGCGCATGCTCCTTCCCTCCAGGGACCACACCGTGCATGCTCCCTCCCTCTAGTGAACGCACCATGCATGCTCCCTCCCTCCAGGGAACACACAGCACATGCTCCCTCCCACGTGCAGCAGGTTGCTGCCTGGGTGGACAGCCCACCCTGAGGAAGGATCAGGGAAGAAGGGGCGCAAGACCCCAGACGCCTGCCAGCGTATAAAACCCCAAGTCAAAAGGTGAAACCGCGCACCTGATCTCTCACAGAGCCAGCCTGGCCCTCTTCCAAGGGTACTTCTTTTCATTCCTGCTCTAAAGCTTCAACTTTCACTCCTGCTCTAAAACTTGCCTCAGTCTCTCCTTCTGCCTCATGTCCTTCCACTGAATTTTTTCTTCTGAAGCGGCGAGATTTGAGGCCGCCGCTCATACTTTGGTGCCGCGACTCAGATACATTCTGCAGGTAACAGAGCTCTGCGGGCTCACCTGAGCTCCATGCTCCATCTCAGCACATGCAATCCTCAGCTGGAGTGGTGAGAAGAGGTGGCTCTTTCTTTTCTTTGTGAAACAGGCTGGAGTGCATCGTTGTGATCTCGGCTCACTGCAGTCTCACCTCCGGGGCTCAAGTGATCCTCCTGCCTCAGTCCCTCGAGTAGCTGGGACTGTTAGTGGCAGAACATATCCCACTTCTGACACCAAAGCACGTTAGCAGCAGTGAATCTCAGTTCTTCCCTCCTCCGAAGAAAGAATTTGAGCGGCAGGAGGCAGAAGAGACCCAGGCAGTTTTACAACAGGAGCAAGTTTATGAAGAAGCTTTAGAGCAGGAATGAAAGGAAATAAAGCACCCTTGGAAGAGGGCCAGGCAGAGGACCTGAGAGATCAAGTGTGTGGTTTGACCTTTGACTTAGGGTCTTCTACTGGCAGCCTTCCGGGGTGTGTTACTTCTCCCAGTTCTTCCCTCGGGGTAAGCCATCCTCACACACAGCTGCCGGCACTTGGAATGAAGTATGCGCAGAGTTTACTGGAGTTGTGCCCACGCTCCCTCTAGGCCTTCTTTTTTGAGACGGAGTCTCGCTCTGTCACCCAGACTGCAGTGCAATGGCGCGATCTCGGCTCACTGCAATCTCCCCCTCCCGGGTTCAAGCAATTCCCTCCTGCCTTAGTCTCCCGAGTAGCTGGGACTACAGGCGCAGGCCACCACGCCCAGCTAATTTTTGTATTTTTATTAGAGATGGGGTTTCACCATATTGGCCAGACTGGTCTCGAACTCCTCGCCTTGTGACCCGCCCACCGTCCCCTCCCCCCCCCCGTCTCCCAAAGTGCTGGGATTACAGGTGTGAGCCACCACGCCCGGCCAAGGCCGCCTTCACTTACCAGCCAAATGTCCCTGGTAGAGGGGCCCTCTTCTGCCCTGCTCATGTCTGACTAGCAACCTACTTTAACGGGCCACAAGCGCTTGCCACCATGCCTGGATAATATTTTGTATTTTTTATAGAGACGGGGTCTCCCTATGTTGCCCAGGCTGGTCTCAAGCGATCTCACACCGCAGCATCCACAGCTGTTCTTTAAATGAGCTACCCAGTAAGTCAAAGCTAAGGTGGAGAGCAGCGGCAAGGCAGGGAGGTGCTGGGAGGTATCTCGGGGGTTCCCGGGATGCTGCCTGTGGACCCCAGCGCTGAGGTGACTGCGCGTGGAGACACCTGCCTGACCAGCTTTTAGGAGGCGTACTGGGGGCGGGATGTGTGTGTGTCAGGAAAAGAACGTTTCTGTATAATCCATAAACATGTTAAGTTAAAAACAACGTGGCCGTGACGGATCCTGGCTGAACGCAAACGGGGAACGGAAACCTGAGTAATTGGGCGCATCACTGAACATCCCGGGCGGCCGCCCCTACTCCGGGGCTCGGAACCGGCGCCCTCTGCGAGGGCGAGGGTTTCCCAGGTTAAGCCATCAGGAAACGGGAAGACGCCTAAGAATGATACAATGGACTCTGGAGGAAAGGGTGGGAGGGGGCGAAGAATAAAAAACTACAAACAGGTTGCAGTTTGTACTGCTCGGGTGATGGGTTCACCAAAATCTCTCACAAATCACCACTAAAAAGCTTACCCATGTAACCAAACACCACCTGTGCAGTAACCTACGGAAAAATAAAAGAGGAAGACGCAGCTCTGCCTTCTCTGCACACTGTGGTAATACTAAGAAAAACGAAAACCAAAAACAGGGTGCCAAGTTTGACATCCTGAAATTTAACAGGACGAGGCGGGTAAGAATTCAGTCACAAAGTAGTTTCCCAGGGAAGAAGCCGCGTTTGCTTTGAAATGCGGTAAGAAATGCACCCGAACACCTGGGCTTAAATTACACCCAAACTCAAACATCCACTCACTGCCACCGCAACGACGCGCTCCTGAAAAACTGCAACCCCACCAGCCCTCGGCTACTGCAGGTGACAAACGGACAAAAACAAATCCCAAAGCCTCGCGGGAAAAAGACCCCGAATCGTAGCCCACTTCTGGGACACCGGGGACCGCCGGGGCCCCCACTCCCGGCTGCGGGGAAAGAGAGGCGAGCGCGCCCCCTTTCTTCTCCCGGGGGCCCGTCCTGTCCCCTCCCCAGGGACCCCTTCCCCTGTCCCGGGAGCCCCTCCCCTCCCCAGGGACCCCCTCCCCGCCCCTCCCTGGGCTCCCCCTTCCCTCCTCAGACGCCCCTTCCCCTCCCCGGGCGTCCCGCTGGGCCTGGGCGCCTCTCCCCAACAGGACGCGGCCAGGCTTGCTGGGAGGCGGCGACGAGGACGCGGGCACAGGCGCGGACGGCTTCTCCGCGCGCTGAACGATGGGGGACGTGCAGGGGGCGTCCCTCGGGCCGCGCCGGGGCCGCCGACCTTTGTCTGCCTCTCGCGCTCCCTGCGCCGACCCAGCCGCCCAAATGGACCCCGGCGCCCCCACCCGCTGCCTTCACGCCCGCCCCCAGCCCCTCACTCACACGGGCGGCCTCCGAGTTTCTCTTTCGTACACCCCGCCCTCAGGCGGCGGCGCCGCGCCCCCTGGGACTTGTAGTCTTTCTTCCGCCCCGGCCCCGGCGCCAGGCCCCGCAGCGCCCATAGAAAACTACAACTCCCGGAGGCCCGCGCGAGAGCCGCCCTCGCCCGGTGGTACTGTCGCGCGAGGCCGTGGGTGGAGTGCCGGGGCGGGGCGCGGAGCGCCCTGGGAAATGTAGTCCTGGAAGACCCGGCGTACGTTTCGGGCCCCCCCCCGATAGGGAGGGACTACATTCCCCAGGATTCCTCGCGCGCCGGCAGCTTGGCGTTGCCGGGAGACGGGGCGGGGCGTCGTCGGGGTCTCCCGGGCGACCGCCCAAGAGTCGGCGTCCTTCGTGTTCCGCAGGTTTAGGCGGAGGCGGAGCGTTTGGGGGCGGCCGGGGGGTTGGCTTCCGCTTCGTCTGCACCAGGTTTGGCCGCGGGCGCGCGGAGCCCCCGCCCTCCAGACCCACGGAGCGTCCCGAGCGCCTAGCGAGCCGCCGCCAAATGCGCCCGAGGTCCGCGGCCGGCGCCTGTGCTGGGACCTCGGCTGCCGGGGTCGGAGCGCGGCGGGAGAGACCCCGGCTCGGGTGCGGGGCTAGGACGGCTGGGACCCGGAGGGCTCCCGGGGCTCCGCATCTCGGACGGGCCAGGGCCCTGCGGCCTCAGGACGCTCCCCCGTGAGTCTCGGCTGTCCCGGGGTCCGGGTGGCGTCGCTGCCGCACAGGCCGGGCGCGTGGGTTTCTCCGGAACTCTGCCTCTGAGCCACCCTCGGAGGAAAAGGACCGCTCTGTGCGTCCCGCGGCTCTCGCAGCTTTAGGCGAACACCTTTAAAGGAGCTCCCCGAAGGAACTGGGGGCGTCCGTCCGCTCATCAAAGGCTTGGGTCCTGTCAGTGTCCCCGGGCCCTCTCCTCGCTGGGCCAGCGCACAGGGTGGGGGGGCGCTGCAGGTGTCCCGGGGCCCCCTAACCTCCCCAGACCCCCCAACCCCCTAGGACCCCCCAGATCCCCCAACCCCTCAGACCCCCCCAAACCCCCAGACCCTCCAGCTCCCTTGGCTCCCGGGAGCTCCTGGGCCCGTCCTGCGTGCTCTTTGGGGTTGTTCCCCGTTGGTGGACGCCGCTTCCGGATTCCCTCCCAAGTTTAAATGCCAGAGATTTCAATGGAAATAAAGCTCCCATCTTAACAGCGTGAGGATGTTTTCTTTTTTTTTTTTTTTTTTTTTTGAGACAGAGTCTCGCTCTGTCGCCCAGGCTGGAGTGCAGTGGCCGGATCTCAGCTCACTGCAAGCTCCGCCTCCCGGGTTCACGCCATTCTCCTGCCTCAGCCTCCCGAGTAGCTGGGACTACAGGCGCCCACCACCTCGCCCGGCTAGTTTTTTGTATTTTTTTAGTAGAGATGGGGTTTCACCGTGTTAGCCAGGATGGTCTCAATCTCCTGACCTCGTGATCTGCCCGTCTCGGCCTCCCAAAGTGCTGGGATTACAGGCTTGAGCCACCGCGCCCGGCCTGAGGATGTTTTCTAAACAGGAGTATTGGGGACAGGTGGGGAAGCCACGTTTGTATCTTCTCTTTAGGACAGTGTTCGCCTGAGGGTCCATCCCAGGGTTCTCTCGGGGCCTCTGTGGAGGAGTTGATGCCACCAGTGCCTCTGGCCGTGGGACGCCTGGGCGTGGACGCCCAGCACTAGGGGTTCGCTGACAGCTGCAGGGTTTCCGGCCATGCGCCCGCGGACATGCAGCTTCTGTGTGTCGGCCCCATTAAGAGGAACCTGTCCTGGGCGACGTTTGAGGACCACGGGGAGGACACAGTCGCGGTCCCCTTCTCAGAGTCGAGTCTGTGCCACGGGCTCTTGTCGTCTGCGGCAACTCATCGTGGAGCTGAGCCAGTGTTTCCACTTCCTTTTTGTTTTTTGTGTTTGAGACAGGGTATCACGCTGTCACCCAGGCTGGATGCAGTGGTGTGATCGAGGCTCACTGCAGCCTGGACCTCCTGGGCTCAAGTGATCCTTCACCTCAGCCTCCAGAGTAATTGGGACCACGGGTGTTTGCCACTATGCCTGGCACATATTTCTTTATTTTTTGTAGAGACGGGTCTGTTTTGCCCAGGCTGGTCACAAACTCCTGGGCTCAAGCAGTCCTCCCGCCTGGCCCTCCCAAAGTGCTGAGATTACAGGCGTGAGCCACCGTGCCTGGCGTCCACTTTCTTGACTATTTCCTGAAGACCAGCGTTTCACAGCTCATTTCACAGGTGCAGAAGCTGCTGTGTCAGTTTCAAGTCCCTACCCCTTGGCTTGGCCTGGGACTGTGACCCTGGGTGACCATGTCCTTATGCTGGAGCTTGGTGCATGAGCGTCCCCGCCCCTTGTTCCATCACTCACGGTGGTCTGCACCTCTCCACACATTGGCCCCTGTCAGGGGAAAGAGGGCAAAGCCCTGGGGCTGCAGGAAGCTGTGCAGTGCACATGTGTGTGTGCCTTGGGCCCGGGCTGCAGGCCCCAACAGGGCCCGCCCTGTACCTGCTGAACTGTGCTCTGAGACCGGCACCCACCCGACCTCTGGGAGCAGAGCCCCTACCGGCCTGGGCCAACCTGACAGCAGCTGCCTGGGCACTGGGCGTTCCCTCGTCTGCCAGGCGGGCAGTGGATAGCTAGTCCTCTCCCTGGGGAAGGGAGATGAGGCCACACGAGATGTCCCTGGAGTCTCCTGAGGAACCCCACGGGGTGCACGTTCCCGAGAACGTGAAAGGGTGCAGGATTCCAGTAGGCCAGGTGGAAGCGTAAGGACATCTTAGGGTCACATCAAGTTGAACGACAATCTCTAGACTAAAACAGAAAGGACATTTACTACCCTAAGGGACGCTTGGGCTGAATCCCATACTCAGGTTACAGCGGGGATGCTAGGTCTGAAGGCCACAGGGAAGCACACCAGAGACCCCACAGACGTCTTGGGGCTGGCTGAGGGCACCCACCTCTGCCGACTGGGCTGTTTGTGTCCCTGAACGGGACTTTCCTCCCTGCAGATTTCAAATTCGGTATGGGAAGGTTGGGGAACTAAGTTGTGCACTAGTATTTTTTCTATTAAAATAAAAATATAACCTATTTTATGTTTGTAATGTGTGGAGTTTTGTAGGGGCGGGTGTGTTTTTGAGATGAGGACTTGCTCTGTCGTCCAGGCAGGAGTGTGGCGGTGCCATCATAGCTCGCTGCAGCCTCAACCTCCCGGGCTCAAGGATCCTCCTGCCTTGTGAGCTGCCGTGCCCAGCCCAGCATTCATAGTGCTGAAGAGAACTTGTCCTGAGAGAGGGCCAGCTTTGCTGCTGAATCATCGTTCAAATGAGGAAATTATTTAGGCTCTGTAGTGGAAGTGGAATCTTACTACATTTATGTAGGGTCTTGAAAAACTTAAAAGATTTTAGGGATAAACTATACTTTTAATGAGTCTGGAGGTGTATCAGTGATTTAGTGGGGAAGATTTTGTTAATTCAAAGTGTTTGCAAAGGAGTTAGAACATACGCATTTGTAAATACAGTGTGCAATGTTGGCTAGTGGGCTGTGAATTCAGAGCACCAGGAGATGCCACCGTCTGTCCAGATGACCAGGATTTGACAGCCACAGCTGGTCCCTCATGCACTGCTGGGGTGTGGAGCGGTGCGGCCCCTAGAGAGCCTTTGGCAGTTCCTTAAAAATTGGAACATGCAGGTGCTGTGGAAGGCAGCAGTGGCATTCTGGGGCGTTCATCGCAGAGAAGTAAATACTTCACACACTCACTGGCAGCTTCGTTTTAGTAGTTCCACACTTGAAACAACACTCTCCCCCCAGGTGGGTGGTGAGCCCACCCCGTGCAGACAGCCTGAGGAGCGAGCACCGTGAAGAGGCCAGGATCCGGCTGGGCGCGGTGGCTCACACCTGGAATGCCAGCACCGTGAGATGCCGAAGCGGGCGGATCACTTGAAGTCAGGAGTTTGAGACAGGCTTGGCGACCATGGTGAAACCACGTCTCCATTAAAAATACAAAAATTAGCCAGGTGTGGTGACACACACCTGTAATTCCAGTTACTCAGGAGGCTGAGGCATGAGAATCACTTGAACCCAGGAGACAGAGATTGCAGTGAACCGAGATCACACCACTGCACTCAAGCTTGGGCCACAGAACGAGACTCCATCTTCAAAAAAAAAAGAAAAAAAAAAGGAGGTAGCATCCGTATGTAGGCAACCCGCACAACTTCAAGGGCCTTGGGCTGTGAGAAAACCCTGCCTCCAAAGGGTGCATGCTTGGTGATTCCACAGTCTACCATTCCCTCTTAAACATTTTTTTTAAGCAGAGACAACCTTGCTGTGTTGACCGGGCTGGTCTGGAACTCCCTGGCTTGACCTGCCTGCCTCTTGCTGTGCCTGGTTCTACAGCTCTTAAAGGGTAAAACGGTGGAGCTGGATCACAGATCACGGCGGTGAGCAGGGGTGGGGTGGGCGCCCCAGGGTCTGGAAGGCTGGACCACTCACGTGGGCCCGGATGCCTCCTGGTCGTGACACTGCCTTCCTCTTCTGCCGTTCTGCTGGGGAAAGCAGGGTTGGGGTCGGGGGTCCCTGAGCTCCTCGGCCCTGACTGGGCTTGATGGTCTTTTGGCCTTGACTTTGTCCTTTATTCTAGAACATGGCTGTTTGGACAAAGAGTTCAAAACCCCTAGAAGATGCCGGGCGCGGTGGCTCACGCCTGTAATCCCAGCACTTTGGGAGGCTGAGCAGGCAGATCACCTAAGGTCAGGAGTTCGAGACCAGCCTGGTGAAACCCCGTCTCTACTAAAAAATACAAAAATTAGCCGGGCATGGTGGTGGGCATCTGTAATCCCAGCTACTCGGGAGGCTGAGGCAGAAGAATCTCCTGAACCCGGGAGGTGGAGGTTGCAGTGAGCCGAGATCACACCACTGCACTCCAGCCTGGGTGACAGAGCAAGACTCTGTCTCAAAAACAAACAAAACAACCCCTAAGAGATGACTTCGGAAAGAGGGGAAACTGAGGTGGAGCTCCCAGCCATGCCAAACAGCAGCTCCTCCTGAGGGCTCCCAGGGACCTCAGCAAGGCTCAGTTTTGGGGGCCTC